ATAAACAATTGTTGATGCAGTTTTGTTTTTAACATTTTAATTTACAAAATCTTCTATTTTGCAATCAACCCCTGGAAGATGTTCTGTCTAGTTCTGACGGTGTTTTCCTTTTGCCTAGAGGCTGGTGGGCTGGTTGGAAAATGTCTTGAAGAGCTATTAATGCAGCTACAGCATTAATTTATATGAAGGTAAGAAACTGACTTGTGATGGATGAATGACCTTCTGAATAATTTCAAGTAATTTGTAGGACGAGGTGTCAGGTTCAATGTCTAGGCAAGCATATTTAGAGGCTGCTGTTGCAACGCTTCCTATATATGCTGTAGTCATTTCTCCACACTTAAAACAACTGCTCTGAAAAAGTAAATCACTGCATAGGTGCTGAAGTATTTATTTCCATTCTAATTGGAACTTTAACTGCCGACTGTTGCATTGCATTTAACTACCCTGAACTACAACACTAAATGTCACATGGGGGGGGAGGGGGGAGCATGTGTGAAAATAAAAATCTCAGACAGCTGTAGACAACCTGCATTTTAAGTGACCATATAAAAGAAAAGTTCTACTTCACGTGAACCTTCAAAGAGATATTTCATCTTCACAGAGTCATGGAACGTGTCCAGAAACGTGAGGGCTCGTTCAAAATAAACAACAGAGTAACAGGCCTAGCAGTGATTCCGCTCAGCATTTCCCACTGGCTAACTGGTAATACTGGCCTAAGGTGAAGAACAAGTCAAGCACTTGTACTTCATCAATCAGCAAAAGGAAAAAAAGCAACATCTTCTGTACGATGAATTGCTACCTGGAAAGATTCTATCAAGTACAGAAGTTTCCCACATTCATTTTTAATCAAAGTGTATTGGGAGAGCAGATAAACAGCAGCATTTTTATTAATGAGATTTAAAATGCATCAAATAACTATTAATTCTAAATCTCCCATTATCCTTTAGAGTAAGAAATAAACTAGATAATTTGTTGAGTTTTGAAGTGTCAACTGGGCATCTCGTGAGAGAGATAAAGAACATCAGCACAGCTGCTCCTCCAAATGAGCTATTAAAGAAGCCTGAAGAACCGTGGAATACTGCATACGTTGTATACCCACAGGCAGAGGAATACTCTGACCCGGCTTTGGAAAAGGATCATCCCTACTGTGAAATGAGACTGTTATCAAAGAATAAAAGTCATGAGCCAACATAAGTTCAAACTTTGCCCCAGAAAAGACCAAAGTAATCAATACCTCTGTAAGGCAATACTTGACCTGATTGTTTCTCAAAATCTTCAGAGGGGTAGCCAAGTTAGTCTGTAACAGGAAAAATGTAAACAACAACAAATAGTCTAGTAGCACCTTTAAGACTAACTAGATATGCATATGGTATCATGAGCTTTTGTGCGTGTCATCTGAAGATGTGGGTTGTGCCCACGAAAGTTCATGATACCGTCTACATCAGCGCTACTCCACTTTGGAAGTCCCAGGGGCCACAATGCTTTTTTAAACTACAGTTAGTTGTGTGCCTATTAATTTTGAGTACAGACAGGATAGCAGCCTGTTTGCCAAAGCTCTGATCATTTTTATTATTTTGAAGTTATAATTCCTGTTTTGTTATGCTGAACTCCCATCCATCCCCAGTACCAGGATTTGGGAATCATCCATCCTAAGTCTTCTGTCTTTAAGTAGTCCCGCTTTTGCCAGGCAATAATTCCAATAAATTATAGATGCATGAGATGTCTGTTCTCTAGGTCCCTGACAAATTTGTTCTAATGCAATCTTGAAATTTGGAGACCGCTACCAGTAATCACGGGCCTCTTGTGGCCCACGTGCCATGTGTTGAGTAACCCTGATCTACATGTTTTGTTAGTCTTTAAGGTGCTACTAGACTATTTGTTGTTTTTTAAGTTTTTCCAGTTTCTAAAAATGTCGATCAGATGAAAACATACAAGGTACTGTATTGGCTGCCTTTCATTACACAGGTTTAGGGCCATTTAAAGATTTGTTGATAATTTCCTCGCTATGCACTTATCAGAAGTATGTTTTAGAGGAACTGCAAGACCAAATTATTTGCAATTTTTCAGAAAATGCCAAATTTATAACATTACTTAACACTTCGTTCTCATATGATAAGGATTAAAACTAAACAAGCTTATTCAGACTAATAGGCAGTCCTTGTACTTCAGCAGTGCACTCAATTTCAATTAGGCTACATCTGGACTACAACCAGTACTTTCGAAAAAGCAAGCCACTTTTTCAAGAGAGAGCACCCAGTGAGTATGGGCGGTCTCTTCTGAAAAAGCAAAGTTTGCATTACATAGCGCCTTTTTTCGAAAGAGCACTTTCGAAAAAAGGCATTATTCCTCATAAAATGAGGTTTTCTGTGGTCGAAAAAAATGCCACATTCTTTCGATTTACTTTTGAAAGAACACAGCAGCAATCTAAACGCAGGGGAAATTTTTTCGAAAAAAGGCTACTTTTTTTAAAAACCTGTAGTCTAGACACACCCTTAGTGTTCACCTCGATGACATGAAACTTATTGCTCTGCTTCTGTGGAATTTAATAACATTCTTGATTACATAGGTTAACAACAGATGCAACTTAAATGAAAATAATTAGTTTATGCTTTCGACTGGCGAATTTCTGAATGCCACCAAGTATCCCAAGGGACACCGTGGGCTGCCCGTTCTTTATCACCTGTCTAAAAACTGTGTTTTTAATTTCCTATAAAAATGTTTTATGTAGTCTTGGCTACAGCACAAAATTATCTCGACACATAGAAGATATGAGACATAAGTTTTCCCTATGAAATATTGCCCCCTTGTGTCAGCCTATAGCTTTCCATGGCAGGGCTGTGAAAATACAGTAAGTCACAGAACTCTTGTTTCTTTGACTCTCAAGCCTTTTCTACATAGATAGAGATTTACAGACTTTAAGGTCACAAGGACTGCCATGATCACACAGTCTGGCCTCCTGTACATCACAGGCTACAGAACGTCGCCCGCTCCTGAAAGCAACCCCTAACCTCTGGCTCAGTTACTGATGTCCTCAACTTAAGAAAGATTTCAAGTTACAGAGAATTCATCATTTACACTAATTTAAATCTGCAAGTGAACCGTACCCCATTCTGCAGAAGCCTGCAGCCAGGGGCTTCAGGCAGGGACTGCTCTGGCTAGGGAGGGGGGCTGTGCGCTAGCCCAGTGGTGGTGGTGGCAGGGACACTTCAGCTGGGCTGGAGTGGCTCTCCACACTCATCCCTGTAATCAGTTAACCGGTCAAACAATATGTGAATTAAATGGGATTTTACATCCCAACTACAAAGATGGCTGCACTTTCACCCTATCAGACAGGCATATGCTGTTGCTAGTACAAAAAGACTGTTTTAAAAATGTTTTCAATAAAAATCACAGAGTAACAAGCGGCACACAGACAGCAACAAAAACATATTGAACTGCAAAATATCCATAAGCACGTCTGACAGAATAATCTGATACTGTTGGTGGCAAAGAAATGTTTATACATGACCTCAGAGTACTATCTAGTACCCTGCGCTAGGGATGTTAAATATCGGTAAACTGAATAGTTGAGAAACCTCATGAATTCTTATGGGTTAGTCGACTATTCTATAGTCTCTGGGGGCAGGGCTGGCAGCCAGCGTGCTCCGGCCTCACTCCTGAGAAGACGCCTGCCTCTCCACACTGCTGCCTCTGTATCAGACACAGCAGTGTGGGGTGCCAGGTGGGAGCTGGTCCACAAAAGGAGTCGGTTTAAAAAACAGCCCCCCCCCGCCCTTGTGGATGGCTGTTTGTCACCCTGTGCTGCTGCCTGTGATAAAGAGGCAGTGCTATGGGATGGCCTGAGCTCCCTGACCTAGCACTAGCCAGAACTGAGCCGGGCTGCCTGCCCACCCGGCTCCGAATATGCTTTAAATGCAGAGTCGCAGCCGGGGTAGGTACCAAACCCGTCACAAGCCAGGACTGAGCTGGGCTGCTGGCCAGTCTGTTAAAAAATTTATTGGCAAGGGGGGGAAGGGGGGGGGGGGAGAATGCGTGTAGTCTATAGCATTAACCTATACGTTTTTGCTAATCGGTTAATCAACTACACCTTTACATCCCTACCCTGCGTTATTTCTCATGTAATGTACATTATGGGGTTAACTTTATTCATTATACCCAGTCACTAATGTATTTCAGTCTGGTTTGAGTAAGTCTTGTTTGTTTAAAAATCTTCTAGTCAACACTTTATCAGCAAAAAACTCCATAGGATTATAAACCCATCATTATTTTGAGGAAATCTAAGAAGAAACAACTAAAAATAACCATCAAACAAACCATTTCAATTAAAATATGCTTCTAATTACACAGGGAAGGATTCCTCCAATTAAAGCACAACTGAACTGGATACACCTATATATAGTAGCTGTAAAATCGACTTCAGTGCCAAGGCACAGAAGTGTTCAGAACACAAAACACATTCATTTGCTGCCCTGAGACAATTCTTCCATATGGTCTTTAATTAGCAGTTTCAGCCATGAAACATGTAGGCACAAGGAAACTGCCATAGCAGTACAGGCTACTTAGCCTACCATGTTGTGTCCAGTGGTATCCAATGCTGGATGGTGAAGTGGAAAATATTGAACCCCATCATGGCCTACTACCTTGCAGAATGTTATGAAGGAGATTTTCTCCTGACTCCAACTGTGTTTGGTGTTTATGTTCTGAAGCATGAGGATTAAAAAGCTCCTGTAATCTTTGTCGTAGGCACTATAACTGCAGATGCTGTTCTTATTCTTTTACCATAGGAGAACATGCATAGTTCAAGCGCATATTTACGAAAACCTACTTTCGAAGGTGTTCATGTTCTTTCAGGAACAGCTCCGTTCTTCTGTTGTTCACACCGGACCCACTTTTATATGACCTTAGATTTCAAAAAGAAAATGCATTTTTTTTTTTGCCAGAAATACTTTTCATGAGGCAGCATTTACTTATCTGCTTGAATGTTAAAGCCGGTTATTCCTACATAACTAAATGGAACATAAGAATATAATAATGACCATATCGGGTCTGACCAAAGGTCCACCTAGCCCGGTATCCTGTTTCCTGACAGCAGCCAGTGTCATTAAAATATTGATAAATTCCTTTTATATGGTTTAGTCTATCTTTTATCCTACCTTAAATGTATTAAATTTTCCAAGTGCAAAATGGAACCCAACCTTAACTTAATCAGTATATGCAGCTTCTCCCAGTTTCACCTAGGCTCAAAACAACATCTCTCGGAAAAGCATTTGTTATTTTCCCATTCAAAAGCCTGTTCTAATTTCTCCTTCCCTGAGGGAAACATTCTGAAATGTACACTGGTGCCCTCTGCTGGTGTTTCAGAGAGGTTCATGAAGGGGTTGTAGAAAGAAAAGTAAACATCCAAATTCACATATCCAGTCTTAATCCAAGAGATTTTTGCCACTTGACTTCAATGGAAGCCGCATGTGGCCTGTCTTTGAACACAGGTCTGATTGTGTATGGTTACGGTTTACTGCTGCAGGGAGGTTCACATGAAAACACAATCTTTGCTCCTAAAAGCAAGAAATGCTCCTTCTGCAATCCCTTCATGTGAAGATAAAATGGTTGTGAGGTTTGTGTTGTCAAAGACACCCAACTCAAGGTGAGGAATATAGAAAAAGTACTCCTACAGATTAGAGGACCCTGTATTTTTAAGCAGAGATTTCTAGAATTAGAACTATGGAACAGAGGCCATGTCCTGGCCAATGAGAACTAGAGGGGCAGTGCCTGCAGGTGTGGGCAGCCTGGGGACAGAGCTTCCCCTGGCACTAGTGGTGACATGGCTCCAGCCCTGCAGGGGAAATGGCAGCACGCAAAGCTGTCTCCCCTCCAGGCACAGCTGGATAATGCACAGGAACTTTAGTGGCTACACACAAGGGCCCCGAGTTAAGGGGGCCTTACCAAAAACATCTGGACTTTTGGTGGACTGGAGATCTTTTTGTGGGGCTGGCCTCCCTTAGCCTCGGGCTGCAGGCACTAAACCTCCTTTCTTAATCCAGCCCTGCCTGTAGCGGGAACAGATCTGCAGTACCAGCACTTGGGCTTCTGGCCCACAACATGGAGACTCGCTGCAGGCCAGATCAAATGAAGTCTGGGACCGGACCTGGCCTGCAGGCCAGAGGTTTCCCACCCTGGATTAACTTTTGCCTCATGGAGTCTTTATATGCTGATTTCTGAGTTAAGAAAGAGAACATCCGCAGTTGTTAAATATATCTAACAATTATGCTAAACAGCTCAATTCTCAAATGCAATCTGCATCTTTTAAAAGCCAGTAATCATGACAACAAGCTGCTGGTGAACTCTGAGACAAACAGCCAGATCTGACTGAAACAACTCATTACTTCAACCTAAAACTTATGACAGTTGCTCCAATCAGAATAATAGTTTTTTTCCCCTCACTTTATATTGGAAGCTTTTGACTCCCCTGTAAACATCTAGT